CCCCCGATGGCCAACACTGATGCTGTTGGTAAGGCTGATGCCCCGTGACAGGGCTGCTGCCATTGGGGGCTTCTACAGGTGCCCCACCCCACCAGATGCAGGAGGCACCAGTCGCTCATGGGTAGAACAGTCCAGACATCTTGGGTTTCCAGGAGGCGCAGTGGAGCCAAGCTTGGAAGAGCTGCAACAGAAGCATTATGTCCGTCTGCATAACGTACTAAAGGAAGCCTTTCTGCTGTAATTGCTTCTCACTTCGGCTCCATCCAAGGTGTCTCCTGAAAACCAGGGCATGCAGGACACTTTCACCCTGCAGCAGCAGCAAACCTGACAAATTCTCACAGCACCTCAGGGTCCCATTTCTCCTGAAAGCCTATGGTCTCCCTAGTATAAGTCCACTGTCCTCCTGAGTACCTGTGAGAAAGAATGTGCTAACACTTATCCCCAGAACTTGCAGAAGCACACAGCAATGTCAACTATAGGTCATTCAAGTTGACTGCAAGATATTTTAGGGACAAGTCTGCCAGGCTTCTGTTATCTCTGGCCACCTACTGGCAAAAGGAGCAGCAGTGGAGCTGGGAAGGGTTGTGTGTGTAGAGACAATCAGGATTGCTTCAAATAAGTCTGTTTACAGCCTAAGGCAGGGGTGGGCAAAATGTGGCCCAGGGGCCGGATGCGGCCTGCCAGTACGTTTCATCTGGCTCGCGGGACCCCTAAAAAATTTAGAAAATTAATATTTATCTGCCCCTGGCTGCCTATCATGAGGCCGTTGATGGCTTGCCAAAACTCAGTAAGCGGCCCTCTGCCCAAAATAATTGCCCGCCCCTGACCTAAGGTCATTCTTCTCAGCATCTCTTCCTTTGTGATTCTGGGGATCTAAAAAAAATTTTCAAGTGTCCTCTAATGCCAAATTCCAGTGCTCTGGGTTCTCTCTCAGCAGTGCTTTAAAAGAGTTCAGCTTTCATAAACATATAGGAGGGTCAGGCATAGATAACATTTTAGGAGCTTTCTACCACGCAGAAACTTGTGCAAGATGGTGAATGAAAGTTTCACCATAGCGGTCTTCCTTTTTTACATTCCATCCAGCGTTATCCAAGTCTTTAAGCATACACCCTCGTACTTTGCTCTGTAATGGCCAAGTGGTGGAACAAACGTTGCTGTCCTTGTACTGTATTGAGTTAGCTTAGTGTCACAGTGTTAGCTTTCTTAAGATTTATTGTCACTGCATAATTCCTACTGGTAGTGTTGAAGGCATTAAGCATATTGTGAAGTTCTGGTCCTGTGAAAGCTATTAAATGAGATTTATAGCATATTTTATGTTGTTGACAGAACTTAGATTACAAATACGGCACAGAGGCTTCCTTGTTATAGCCTCTGCATACATCTTGAATGGTTGCTGAAATACAATGCATCCTCACTGTACACCTTTCTTGATGTTACAGGACTGAGATGTTTCATAGTCCTAGAAGAAGCTTTTTATTAACTGGAAATCTTTTATTTGCTGGAATCATTATTATAGAAATATATAAGCAGATTAGAGCTAACCAAAAATCTCCTTAAAAAAGAAAAGTCAAGATTGTAAAGTTTAACTATTCCTTGGTACTTCAAATGCATACCTGCATAATATTCTGAGAGGACCGCTTCCTTTCTGCATAACTCCAGATGGAAAACAAAGGGACTTCCATCAGTTGTCATCTCAGAATACTGATGCATTTTTGGGTGTCACAATGATTTTCAACACCACTTGAAGGGTCAGGCTAATCAAACTATAATCAGTGATTCTCAGCCTGGTGTCGCAGCACTATGCGGTGTCTTAAGATCCTTTCAAGGATGACACGTGATGTCAGCACTGTTACATGTGCAAATCCAATTTAAAAGACAAATCTGTAAATTTCAAATAGAAATCCATAGTGGTAAAAACTTTCTGACCTGTTGTGCAGGTCTGTTTGCAACATAAAAGTTGCTCTCTTTTTCCATAGTTTTTGTTCGTTTTTGGCTAAGAGCTGGAATTTTCCAAAGGCTACCTCAAGTCTAAAAAGGATGAGTACCACTGCATTAGCATGTTGAGAGGTTAAGCAGTACACTGCAGTCCAGGTTTAAAGCACCTCTAAGCATAAGTCATGGGCTTTGCTGTATGGATGATGGAAGGGAGATGGAGGCCAATGCCCAGGTAACAGCCCAGATGAATTGTGCAGTGTAAACATAACCTAAGGATGCCCTGAAAATATCCTGTACATACATGAAAAAACCCTAACAGATGAAGTAAAAGAAATATTTGGTATTTTTTTAAATTATTCCTTCACACTTTTACCTTCTCCAAAATAGCAAAACATTTGTGCAGCACAATTTGTCCTACAAAACACTATGATGTTAACTTCTCCAGACCCTCAAAGTGTGGATCCAGTTGTTCGGCAAAAACATTTCCATCTTTTTAAAAAAGTTTCCTTAGTGAATCAAAATGTTACTGACAAAGCACAGCTCAGGTACCCAAATTGCTCCCATCATTCTAAGTTTCTGTGTGCCTCAACTGTCAGTCTGTGAAGTGGAAAATGTGGGGTGCTTGTACACATGATGAGGGCTTAGCGCCCCCTATATTGATATGGTGGGTTTTTAATTGAAACCTGCCATTAGATCAGGCCGGGTGCTGCCTTCAAGCTGGGGCAGCACCCAACCCACTAGCAGTCCACCCGGGTGGCCCCAGGGGGTGCCACCGCTGTGAAGGGAAGGACCAGGGCCTCCTTGCAGCTCAGGGGCTGCTTGGCCTGCTGGCAGTTTGCCCCCTAGCCACAGGCAGGCTCCGCCAAAAGAGGATCGGGGCCCTTGCCACTTCTGTCATCAGCAGGTGCCTGCTGAAGGCAAAGGTGGCAAGGGGCCCAATCCTTTTTCAATCCTTTTTTTTTTCTGCAAAGCCTGCCTGCCTCTCCCACAGGCAGGGGGTGAGCTACTGGTGGGCTGAGTGGCCCCTGAGCTGCAAGGGGCCCTGGGTCCTTCCCTGCAGTGGTGGCACCCCTTGGATGGGCTGCTAGTGGGCTGGGGGCTGCCCCAGCTTAGAGACAGCACCTGGCCTGATCTAACTCTTCCCTGACCCTGAGCCCCAGCCCACTAGTAGCCTGCCTGCGGGGCACCGCTGCTGCGGAAGGAAGGACCACAGCTCCCCACAACTCAAGGGCCACATGACTCCCTGGCAACTTGTTCCTGCAGCTGCGGGAGAGGTGGGCAGACTCCATTTAAAAAGATAAATAAATAAAAGGATTGGGCCCCTCACTGTTTCTGCCTTCAGCAGGTACCTGAAGACAGAAGCAGCGAGGAGCCTGCCTGCCTCTCCTGCAGCTGAGGGGGTGAGCTGACAGCTGCATCATTGCAGTTTGCAACACTGCAAACTAAATTACATCCAGATGTAGTTTTGTTTACAATAATGCAAGTCATTTTAAACCCCCAAGTCTTACACTCTGATGCCAAGCCACACAAAGTGATGTTTCTGTCACGTGTACATGCTAATGGCATCACATGTATAAGTGCCTGTGGATTTTAAGTCAGACGGAGGAAGGCAAATTCTCTACTACCTGGATATTATATAAGATGGGCAGCAGCTGCACCCCACTAGCACCAGGCTACATTTTAGAAAACTGAAATGACTGAGCCATGTTTTCTAAGAACTAAGGAGGATTACAGGCTCTGAATCTCAAATGTATAAAAGTATCTGCCCATTGCTTTAAATTCCAGGGAGGGGTGACGTTTTAGATATATGAAGCCTACAAAATTTGGAACTCAATTGTAGGGACAAACGCCTTATTATCGGCACATAACAATTCCTTTTGTTTGTTAAATTGACTAAACATTTCTAAGCATCTAATTTTTGTCCAAAAGGATTTAATTCTAGCAGAACGTGGATTTTTTTTTCTTTAAAGCATAGACTGAGGGTCTGACCTAAAAATCTAGGGGCTCTGGAAATCGGTTTGCTGTGGATTGTAGCAAGATTTCAGATATCTGCACTTCCTTCACATCTCCTGGCACTTCAGTAAGAAAATAAATCCAAGACTGAGATACCGCTACACATGACTTCTTCAACATCTATTAAAACTGTTGGCTAATACCGAGTACACTCCTCATTTCTTCCCAGTTTCTCTCAATGAATATGTAGAGTGTACTATTCAAAAGATATAGCTTTTCATTAACATGCAAAATAACTAACCTGATAAATTGTGCAAATGAGGGATCATTTCACTATGTTAAACCAGAGAAAGCTCATCACTGACACTACCAGTTTGGCTCAAAAAACTAGAAAAATATTATAATAGCCAAGTAAACAAAACAAAAAACAGGTCTATTTATTAAAACAAAAGGGAGAATCAAATAACATTTTGTAAGCAGCAGCAACACAGCAAAGAACAAACCTGATCCTATGCATATAAGACGGGGCATACTAGAAGACAAATAACTCAAAGCAAGTGTGCATCTTGTTTGGGTTCTTTACCAAAGACTATTTTAGTAATGAGCCATCCATCAAAATTACAGTCAGTGGGGGTAAACTAGTTCTTTTGAAATTCCTGATACGTAATTTAAGCACTGTTAATTTTTCTGTGATTTTGCATAAGAAATAAGGAGTGTATGTATCCCAAACTATCAACACTGATTTTGCAAGGAACACCACATAAACACCAGGTATTTCTGACTAATAATACAGTAAAACCTCATGAATCTGTGCGGGCCGGGAGCAACCCGGGCCCTTTTCCGTGCTGCACGCGGGCTGTGGCCAGCAGCCCGGGCACGCTGGATCGGAGAGGGAGGGCGATGAGCTGGAATTAGGCACAAACGCTTAGCAGTAGTTTTAAAGATTGTTTACTTACACCGAGATGGCAGTGTTGTAGGCTGGAAAACTTGCTTGAGTTGCGGTTACAGACAGGAAAGAAGAGAGGCGGACAAGACTTCTAAACTCGTGAACTCTAGCCCAATCTGGCTGAGGGCTCTAAACACGCGAGCCCGTCGTGTCAACCGAAGAAAGTACTCGTCTGAAAGAGCTCTGAATAAACTCACACGAAGTTTGCTAGGCTCCGTGGGTCCTTCTGCTCACTCATCCACACGAAGTTTGCTAGGCTTCGTGGGTCCGGTTCTGTTGCCTGCTTGAAAGGTGTTGGGTCCGTAAGGATCCGCAGCACTTAGAGATCTTCACACAGCGTGAAGTCTCCTCCTCCCAGTGTTCGTGGAGTCCTCCAACTTGGGCGGAAACCACTCAAGCCTTTTATACGGCTAGCAAGCCAATCACTAGCCGCTACGTGTGAATAATTTAGAACTGGCCAATAATGGGGCTCAAATTAGCATACAAATGGCGGGAACTCTTTGCAACGAGCATTTCTGTGCTGCAACAAAGAAATGCACCCTGCAAAGAAAGCTTCAAATTGGCGGGAAATTCTCCTTTGCACCCGGGTTCTCTTTTGCAGCAGAAAACTCCACCGTGCAAAGAAGCTATAATTTAGCAGGAACAATTTAGCAGTGCCGAAGCACACAAAACAAAAATCACACCCTTTGGGTTGTGACAGAATCCAGATCTCAGAAATCCAGCACTGGAGTCGCTGCTCAAGAACTGGTCCCCGCTCCCCCCACCGGACGTGGACGGGAAGGCTTGCATGTGGCTGCTGCCACTATTGTTAACCACCCTGCACCGCACACAGAGGCTCTGGGACCGCCTGCTACTACCCCCCTCCCCAACTCCGCCAGTCACTCCATGACCGGCCGCTGCTCAGATTTCAAAAATCCGGCATTTTCAGCTATCCAGCAAGTGTTCGGTCCCAAGCATGCCAGATTCATGAGGTTATACTGTATGGGGCCAGTAACCTTTCAAACATCAGACACAGGATGCCATACTTATCCTCCTATTAACTGTCGCACACTAGTGATTCACTGAGCTTATTTTTGTTCAAAATGGATTCCAGTTCAGATTGGTGTGGAATACGGTTATTCTGAACAGGAATGAATAAAGAAAGAAGTAGCTCCTTTTCAAAAGATATCAGGCTACAATGTACTTATAATATTCAATACAGTTTGGAAACCTCTGAAGTGAACTCTTACGTTACTACCTTCAAACTTGAAGCTTCAAGTCAGTTGCTCCTAAGGTAGAATCATAGAAAACAATGCCTACAAGAGACTTCAGGAGGCCATCTAGTCCAACCCTCCTGCTCAAGACAGGATCAGCCCCATCTAAAATCATTCCAGGCAAGATGGGTTGATGATCCCAAAAGCAGCTTCCTGTATAAATTTGATTACAGACTCCTTCATCCAAGTTAAACTTAGTGTTCATCTGTTCATACTGGACTTTTTTTTAAGGATTTAGTGAAGAAAATTCTTACTAAGCAGGTTATAATGGGGTTAGTGAGGAAACCAAATGCCATGAGTGCTATGCATGGATCAATCACTCACAAGAGCAGGGCATGCCAAAAAATACTTAAAGCTTATAGCTAGCTCCTGATGCCTATAACCCTTAAGTTTTGGGAGCACTGAATTACAAAACTATTACAAATCATGCTGCCTTTTGGACAACATGCAAGCTTGTCCAGATATTTAAAACATATGCAATAATTATTTCCTAACACATAGAAATAAGTCAATCAAGTTAGAAGCTTATCATTTGCTTTTCATCAGGCTAAATTTTTAACAGTATATATAGGGATTATCTACCACACCTGCAAAACATTTCAAAATGCAAGATGTGAGAATTGAATGTTGTAGTGCAAGCTGAACATGTCAGATTATTTTTCTCTTTAAATGAAGGCATCACATTCTCTCTACAAAAAGCTTAATTCTGCCCTTGACTGTAGCTAAAGAAGACAAGTACTTTTAAACATCCTGAAAGAAATATCTATTAAACTCCTTTTTAGAATACAAAATACTTAAATGCTATAGGGTTTTTTTTTAATTAAATAGAGTAGATATGAGCAAAACTGAGAAAATGTAGATTTGAAGAAATAAAATGCCAGCATATGACAACACAGAACCTTAAATAAAGCAAGAGTAATTGCTTGCTGTAATCATTTAGCTAGACTGTTTTATTTCACCCACCATGAGGAGAATCTGAGTACTGTTTATAATAACCAGCTAAAAGCATTTACAAAACACCTTGCAGTAGTGCCCAGAGACCCCAATCAGGGTCAAGGCCTCAATGTGCTTGCATAGGGCTCGATTAATTAATTTTGCCTTATAGCTTTAAATCAACCATAAAGCACACATTAGGATTTTCCACCTCACTTTCCAAAATGACTTCATAAATAGCTTTGAAAACCTTGAGCGCTTGCAGAAAATTATTTTTGATAATTCTTCTGTTCTTTTCTAAGGAAACTAGGAGCACCAAAATTTGACCAGATGAAAAAAGACACACACCTTATTCTTTACTTAAAGACAGCATGAAGTACCAGTTCATAAGAAAAAGACATGTCATCCCCCTGCCTCCCAATGAGGAAGGATAATGTTGGCAAATTAAGGTAAGTATAGCCACTATGAACTTTATTTAAAGTTCCACTCTCTTCTCCTCTTCAGTTTAGGCGAATACAGTTTTAGGTGTTGATTACATAGTATGTAGCTAGTTATGAAGTCCAGCGCCACCAAGCTACCTTCATCCTGTCCCATATAGCAGAGATGGAATCAAATGCAGGACGGACATCCAAGATGGTGAACTGATAGTCCTTATCTACTTCTCCACCATCATAATAATCAATAACATATCTGACTTCCTTTCCACAACGATCAACTATCCAATCATGTCTGTCAAAAGGAAGTTCATATCTAAAATGAAAGATAGACAATGTAGTTAACTTGTTAAATTAAATCAAGATTATGAACTTTATAAACATGTAGCAAAGAAAGTCAGACACCACAATTTATGACAATACATATAAAAACATGATTGCTTCTGTCCATTTTCAGGTATGGTATTTCAGCATGCATAAAAACATATTTATGGCCTTTACACGTACCCCATCCATGAACGTATTCTGGCTCTTGGTGAATACTCCTTAGCTTTACCACCAAATCGAATCAATGTTGGTCCACATGGACATTCCCTAAATATATTTTAGCAAACACGATTAAAATGGTACTTTTATGTTAAGACTGGTAAGTTACAATTTAAACAAGATAAAACAGTATTAAGAACTTTACTATTCTACAAATACGTTAAAAATAGAACTTAGGAAAAAATGTAATTCTTCCAACACTATAAGAAACCAACTTCTTTAAAAAAAAAAAAAAAAAAAT